GCTCAATAAAGCTTTGTGGAATGAATATCTGAATGATCTTTAGTCCTTCCACCCCACAAAGAAGGCTGATGATTTCCGGAGGGAAGGGGGTGCATAATTTCTGGGTAAACACTCAGAGGGTGGCAATGTCGCCTCAATTCAGGGTCCCCTCCCACGTTTTCCAGCATGTCTCTGTTGTTTTTCAGTGCCCCCTCGGGTGTGCAATGCTTTGGCTGCTTCTGCATGGCTTTCTTCTAGAGCAGCAGTTCACAAACTATGGCCCTCTTTCTGTAAATACAGTTTTGTTAGAATATAACCACACCCATTTGTATAAGAATTGCCTCTGGCTACTTTTGAGCTACCACGGCAGGACTGAGAGGTTGCAACAGAAACTATATGGCCAGAAAACACTAAAATACTTACTCTCCAGCCTTTTCAGGAAAAATTTGCTGACCCCTGTCCTAATGAGATCAAATAAGATGAAGGTTCCTCCCAAGAAGGTGGTCATTCCTTCCCTGGGTTGGAGACAAGACTCGCCAGGCACCGGGCCCTTCCATCTCTGAGGGGACCCAGCAGGTACCATCCCACAGAAAGACTTTACTGATATCAAAGCCAGTGTGTTTTGCAAAGTTCTGCTCTACGCCAGTAACTGCACTAAGCACCTTACCTTGATGCTCTCACATACACCTCTCAGTGATACCATGAACAGGAACTATATTAAACCCTATTTTATAGATGAGGAACCTGAGGCCCAGAGAGGGCAAATGACTGGCCCAAATTCATTCAGTGGGGATGTGGCAGAGATGGGGCTCAATCCAAGGTCTGTTTTGAATCCAACCTGCTGCTCTTAGACTCTCCTCTGTGCTGCCTCCCCACACAGAAGGCTTAGCAGGAAGAAGACTTACTTAAGAAAAATAAACAAATAAACATGAAATGGTTCATTCAGGCCCAACAGGTGATTGCTGTTTCAAAACAATTCCTCCAACAGCGTAGGAGGGTTCCCCTTTCTCCACATCCTCGCCAACATTTGTCATTCTCTCTGTCTTTTTGGGAACAGCCAGTCTAACTGGGGTGAGACGATACATCAGCGTGGTATGGATTTGCATTTCCCTGATGATTAGTGATGGTGAGCATTTTTCATGTACTTATTGGCTGTTTGTATTTCTTCCTTTGAGAAATATCCATTCAGCTCCTTTGTCCATTTTTTAATTGAGTTTTGTTTGTTTGTTCTACTGTAAATTAGTACAATCTTTATGGAAAACAGTATGGAGGTTTCTCAAACAACTACAGATAGAACTACCATATGATCCACTACTGTAAATTAGTACAATCTTTATGGAAAACAGTATGGAGCTTTCTCAAACAACTATAGATAGAACTACCATATGATCCAGCAATCCCACTTCTAGGTATATACCCAAAGGAATGGTACCTGCACTCCCATGTTTGTCGCAGCTCTAATTTACAATAGCCAAGACCTGCACTCCCATGTTTGTCGCAGCTCTAATTTACAATAGCCAAGACAGGGAACCAACCTAAACGTCCATCAACAAATGACTGGATGAAGAAGATGTGGTATATCTACACAATGGAATACTACTCAGCCACAACAAAGCATGAAATACTGCCATTCACAGCAACATGGGTGAACGTAGAGAAAATTATAAGTAAAATAAGCCAGGTACAGAAAGAGAAATACTGCATGCCCTCACTCATATGTGGAAGCTAAAAAAATAAAGAAACAAAAAAATAACAAACAATAATACTTTGAAAATTCAAAGGAGAGGACAGAACTGTGGTTACTAGAGGGAGGAAAGGGGGATGAGAAGAGGGTTAGGGAGAAATTTGTTAATGAACACAAAGAATGAGTACATTTTGTAATGACAAATATGTCATCTATCCTGATTTAATCATTACATATTGTACACAAATACTGATAGTCAACTCTGTTCTACACAAATATGTATAATTGATTATGTTGTTTCAATTTTTTAAAAAAAGAAAAATAAAGAAAAATAATCCCTAACTTAGCACATCAAAGGGTGGGTCTTTAGCAAGAGGACTGTGCAGAAGCCTTTCTTTAGGGTGGAAGAACCAGCCCACTAGAGACCCAGATTCCCAAGTCCTCCCATCACAGGACAGGGGCTCTCTCCATCAGCAGGTAACATAACACGTGAGAAAATGTCACCCAGAGCACAGACAGAACAGACCAGCTTGATAACATCTGAAACCCCCTCTGGGATAAGCACTAAATTAAGGCTCTGTGTCTGGATTTAAGAAATGGAGATCCCAGGAAGGTCTGCTCCAACTCCCCAGATAAAGCCATATTACATGATAAGCCAGCTCCTTTGTCCTAAGTGAAAAGGTTTAAGTATCTTTTAAAGAGTTCTCTCCTTTAGGACTGAGTGTGAAAAATTATTCAATTTCACACTGTCATGATCACAAAACTTTAGGGAAATAAGAGACAATATGTGGGAGGCCTATAGTTATTACCAAAAGAGCAAAATTGTTCCCTTTCAACTTGAAACAAAGGGAAGATTACATTATCTAGATTGCAAAGATGAACAGTGAATTCGCCTGGGTCACTTCCTGTTGACACAGGAAGAAAAGGTTCTGGCTTGTTTTCTGGAATCTCACTACAAAGCCAGAGGTCACTAGTTCACACAAGGCAGTGAGGAAAAGAGAGCCGCCTCAGTCCCCGGAGTGATTTAGTGCTTTGACTAACCTGAACATGTCCATCTTTGCTTTTTACTGTCTGTGCAGATGTCTATGAAGCCTCCAGCTTTGAATCTGGAAAACAGCAAACTCCTTTTTGGCCCTTGCTCGTGATCAGATAAACACCAGCATTATCCTCAGCAGCACTGGGGACCTGCTCAGCCACGACCACCACCTCCCAATCCACGGAAACCTCCCACCCACGGGGATTTCTGTTCCATCCCCTTGTTTCATTTTTTTTGTGCTTATCACTAACTAAAATTAACTTGTCCACTATCTGCCCATTTCTCCTCAACCAGAACATGTGCTCCTCAAGAGCGAAGTTTGTGTCGGCCAGTGTCACCAAAGCCCAACTTGCTGTAGACCCTCAATGAATATTTGATGAATATTAGTGTAGCACCCATGATTAAGTTGCCGTGTGCGTAAAATTTTACAGATACTTTTGGTTTTTCGCTTCTAGTTTTTCTTGTCTTTGAGTCAGCTGTGCTGCCGAGGGCATCCTGTTTATAAAATGTTCAACTGTCACTTTTATGAAGTGGTCATTCATTGTCTTCATTCCATGCAACATACATTTATTGAGTACCTATCAAGTGCCAGGCAGTTTTGCTTGCGATTTGATGGTGATCACAAAAGAGTGCCTGCCCTCACGAGCTTTCAGTCTAATGGGGGTGTTGGGGGATCAAATATTAAGACAATATGTATGCCACTATGACCTTGATAAATAAATGCTATGAAGGAAAAACACATGCAGGGCTTCTGAGGAATTAATGTTTGGGCTAAGATCTAAAAGATGTGTTAAACTAGGTGAGTTAACTAAATTAACTGGCTCAAGAGTGATTAGCTGAGAGTTAAGAACAGAATTAGGGTTGGAGTAAGGATAAGGAAAAGGTCAGGGGAAGGTTGGAAAGGAACTTTCTAGAAAAAGGGACTAGCATGTGCTAGAGATCAGGTGGATGTTGACCAGGGGGAAAGTTGATGGCTACCCATCCCAGAGTGGAGTTGATAGGGTGGAGACAAAATAAATTGAGAAAAGAAGGCAAATTGGGAGTTATTTAGGAAGTAAAATGGCAGGACTTGGTTAGTCCTTCAAGGCCTATCTAGTGGCTGGAGAATTGACTTTGGTCTTCTCCTGGGCGGAGACCTGTGGGGCCCTCCATCAATTACAACCTGGCTTCCAGAGGTGGAAGCAACCACTGGGCAGTCCGAGTGTATGTGCCAAATAGGGATGGCAGATTGGGGAAGGGGTGAGCAGGAGGCACAGGTGAGCACGTGCTCCTGTGGGCAGCAGCATTTCAGAACCTGGGTATGGTACTCAGGTCTGGAGGATTCCTGGAACCCATGCATTGATTACCATGGGCAGTCAAGTGTTTACAGGAGCTCAAGATCATGCCTATTAAAGAGATCAATTGTGTCCATGAGAACCCATGCTCAATAGGTAACTGTGGCTTTAGTCAGGCCTATTGCAACCTGCGTAGCTAAAGAACATAAGAAGCAATTGTCCTGAAATATGAGCCCCATGTTTTTCCCCCTCCCCAATAGGTAACTGTGGCTTTAGTCAGGCCTATTGCAACCTGTGTAGCTAAAGAACATAAGAAGCAATTGTCCTGAAATATGAGCCCCATGTTTTTCCCCCTCCCCTTGATCAAAGAAAAACTGCAATGAAAGGAAAAAAATGATTAAAAAGTGAAAGACTTACGTAATGAGATTTAAAAGAAAACTTTCGAAGCCAACAAGCAACTGTGGGCAGCACTTCAAAGGGCCCAGAATCAATGTTTGTCAATAGCAGTTTTGCATCTTTTAATTTATCTTTCATGAATATAAAGTGTGATGTTATTAGGAGCCCATCCATGCCTTAATTCTTTGAGATTTGATGAATCGGAGGTCTATTAACATTCTGTTTGAATCAGCAATGGTAGAAGCCTATGGCATAAGCCCACCTGATCTTTCATCCTGTGGCTGGAACGTGCTAGTTACATTGCCAGGCCTTCTGCACTGAATGCTCAGCAGCTCCCATGTGCACCCAGGAGCCAGGGGGCTGCTTATGTCGGCCACTTTCTTCAGAGACTTTCTCTCCAGAAGAAAAACCATCCCATGACTCAGCCCAGCCCCAAAGTTACCATTTGTTTAATCAAGATAGTTGGTTTGCAAAGCATTAAACATTAAACAGTATTTGATGCCTAGTTAATAATTTGCATCCTCTTCATTGGTTCCTCAATCCTCAGAGACTGACATTCCCTCCCCGCCAAAGGCATAGATAACAAAAGAAATTGTATTGAGAGCAAAACACAAGTCCTTAAACTGCAAAGATGTTTGCCAGAATGTCTGATCTCCATGTTCTGCTCTTAATGGCTCTGGTAGGAAAGACAGCCTTTGGGGTAAGTGTTCTTTTCAAATATCTACAGTCGAGAGACCCTGAGGTTATTAGTAGGACCAAACTAGCTGGGCTGGGAGCAACGAGAAACTTTAGTTGTGAAAGGCTAGTGTTGCCAAGTAGAATATGTCCTGATCACAGGAGTTGATGCTGGCCTGGAGTGCTGGTGGCTGTTGACCCGAGAGTCTCATGGTGACATGCATCTGACTTGAACCCTCTTGGAGGACAGCCTCCACAAACGTCTTCCAACAAAGGAGACTGGGCAAGAAAGTCTGATAAGGCATGGGTTGCCTTCTGTCACTAATCTCAGAGCCCCCTTTGAGAAGCCACTGAAAGTTATTAACCGTTCCTGCGGAAAATATATCTATGAGCCGGTGCTGACACACACACCCAATTTTCCAGCCATTTCAGGCCAAGACTATTTTATCCATTTCAGGATAAGAACTCCTGCATTTTGGCCTTAAAGGGGAGTCCTGCTGGCTGTAAATGGTCCTGGCAAGGGGGTTTGCTTCGATAGATTAGATTTGGGGAGAAGCTTTGTGATTAGTATTTTTTCCCCTTTTCCCCCCGAGACCACAGTGCATGGTTCAGAGAAGGTGAGCAGGGGCCTGAGAAAGGTCATGTTGAGAAGGGGAGAGAAGCACCATCACAGGATCTTCAGTGGGAGACTCAAGACCTGTGGGATCAGATGAGTTCTCAAGATGTTGGCTCCTGCTGTGTGCCACTGTGGTCCAAGGGTGGGATGTGAGAGAGGGCCTTAAGCAGAAATAAAGCCTCCTGGGGACCCATGCTGGCTGTGGTCTATGGCTAGAGTGTG